CCGAAGAGGAGGGGGGGGCAGATAGGGCAACAACCAGGGGGACTTCGAACTCCCTGTGGACAAGGCTCAAACACCAGGCATTACCCCAGCTGAGCCCACAGAGGGAAGACCACTGAGTCCAAGGACATCCGGTCAGAATCCCTCTCCCGGCCGCCATGGAGAGAAACACTGCTTTTTCGTTTTGTTTTTCTTTATTCTGACACGGAGCCGTATCAGAATAGAAAAAAATAAATAAATACATTTTTGGCCATAGGAATGCATTGCTAGATTCCTATTGGCTATTTCAATTTGCAATAGCAAACTAGCATTGTACCCGCCCTCTGCTGAGGTTCTCCATCAGGTCCCCACTACTGATTGACAGCAGCAGAGGGCGGGTACACAAGCTAGTTTGCTATTGCAAATTGAAATAGCCAATGGGAATCTAGCAATGCATTCCTATGGCCAAAATGTTTAATTTTTTTTGACGGCAGCAATAGAAAACTTCTATTGACCGCCGGCCAATAGAAAACTGTTGGGCGGAGCTAGCTGTCATTGCTAGCTCCGCACAATCGTTTTATATTTTTATTTTTGCTCGGTCCCACAGAGAGACTGAGCAGAACAGCCGAGCCGACTGTTCACTCACTGCTGTTCGGCATCTATAAGAATAGACCGAACAGCAGCGAGTAGCCTGTCGGAGGTTCGTCTTAGCCGATCCAGATGTTGGATCGGCTGAGTCGAACTCCTTCTGCACTTCGGGTCGGCCGAACATGCTCAGCATGTTTGGCCGACCCAAAGCCACCCGATGTACAGCTGATTTCAGCCGATATATGGCTGAAATCAGCCGTACCAGCCTGAAGTGAATAGCCGAACATCACTCGGCTCACTTCGCTTAGGTCGGTCATTCACTCGGCTGCCTACGGCAGCTTAGTGAATAGACCCCTTTGACTTCACCTGAGAAGACCAAAGGTCTGATATCCCTCTCATCCTTTACATAAATTTATAGCATGCTTCCCCTGCCCGAGTAGGTGTAAATGGGAGGAGGATATTGGGGAAATCTCTGAAGAGATCTGGGAACAGGTGCTGCACTTGACACAGCGGGTCTCCCATAAAGTAATACAGTTGTTTATTATTAACTGAGTTTATCGTAAGCCAGCATTCCACCATAAGAAAAGCCTCCAGGAAGACTCCCATTTTGCCAAATGTCAGCAGCCTCAAGGTGACCTTATACCCTTGCTTTGAAAATGTCCCAAATTGAGGAGATATTGGATGGCAATTATCTCTACTTTGAATGCTTTCTATGGGCTTGCACTGAAGGTTGATCCTCTCACTTGGCTTTTGGGTTATTTTGATATGAGTGACATGGATGATCCTCTGTCCTTGGCTTTTACAAGATCCTTATTCCTAACTCGTAGGATGATTGTGGTTAAATGGATGTCAGCATATCCTACCACGATTGAGAAATGGAAGGCTGAACTTGCTAAATGCTTTGCCTTGAAAAAAACATACTTGCTTACTTTGGCCAGCAAAGCAAACAGGATAATATCTGCATTAAAAGAGGGAATGTTAGCAAGGGATAAAAGAATAATACTTCCGCTTTATAAATCACTGGTTTGGCCTCATCAGGAGTATGCGGTGCAGTTTTGGTTGCCAAGTAGCAATGCACCGATACCACTTTTTTAAGACCGAGTACCAATACTTTTGCTCAAGTACTCGCAGATACCAACTACCAATACTTTTTCTTAAAGGGACAGGTCACATTTTTTCTAAAGCAATACAAACTAATGCTTTATGGTCACTTTCTTAATATTATGATTCATGAGATGACGAGGGAGCATGACGCCGGCTTCCCGGCCAATCAGAATTCCGGGCGCTGCGTCATTACACGGCGCCCGGCTTCCGGATTTGCTAGCAGTTTTTTGACCAATCCAGAAGCCGGGCAGCGTGTCATTGCACGCTACCCGGCTTCCTGATTGGCCGGGAAGTCGGCTCCATGCTCTCTCATCACAAGTGACGAGAGAGCATGGAGCATTTTCCTGGCCAATCAGGAAACCGGGCAGCGTGTAATGATGTGCTGCCCGGCTTCCTGATACAGGAAGTACTCGTGCTAGGTATCGGAGCATTTGGGCGAGTACGAGTACTCACCCAAATACTCGGTATCTGCACCGATACTAGTATCAGTGCATCCCTATTGCCAAGCTTGAGAGATTCCAGGGAAGGGCTACAAAACTAATTAAAGGGCTAGAAGGCCTGAGTTAAAAAGACCGCATCCAGCAATTAAACCTATTCACCTTAGAAAACAGGCGCATAAGAGGGGACCTTATTGCAGTCTTCGAAATCATCAATGGGGACCACAATATTCGGAACAAGCTGTTTACACCGAGAACTATTTTGAGGAAACAAGGACACAACAAGAGGTTAGAAGAGAGGGGGTTCAATTTTTTTTTTTTTTTTACTGTGCATGTAGTAAAAATGTGAAATTCCCTTCCACAGGCAGTGATATCCACTGATAAGAGTTTGTAAATTCAGGAAACTTCTAGATGAGTTTCTTCATTCACTACATATACAAGGGTATGGGAAGTGTTAGAGCCATATAGAACGAAAAATTGTATGCTTGCCTATCAGTAATTTTCCTGACGCCACACAAACACACACAGGTTGAACTGGATGGACCCTTGTCTTTATTCAACCTCCCCTACTATGTTACTATGCTTCGCAATACTATGACAACATTTGATTCTATTTGGTCAAGATGGATAGCTGCCTATTGTCCACTATTGACATGACATACTTGATCTTATTCCCTTTGATATCTGCAGGAGTGTTTTCTATTTAATGCTGTCACCATGCTTAGCCTACTTTTTGTTCTATATTGTTTATTGATGTTGCATTAGAGGGTTCACCTTATTCATGTCTGCACCGTGCATTGACTATTTTCAGTTATCTAGAAAGCAGACATTTCTTCTGGTTTGTTGATTTTTAAAAAAAAATGTATTATTGTATAAAATAAATCTGATTAAAAAAAAAAAACAACAACTGAGGGACGAGGCGGGTGGGAAGGGTTTTTAAACTTCTCTGATTGTGTTTCCGGTAGATCGGGGATGGCCAAACTGCAGCCCCCCAGCTGTGGTGGAACTACGAATCCCATGAGGCTTTGCAAGATTCCCACAGCCACATACATGACTCCTGGAGAGAGATGCTTCATGGGATTTGTAGTTTCACCACAGCTGGAGGGCCGGAGTTTGGCCATCCTTGCTGTAGATGGAAGGACCAATCATCTCTCTGGAAGCTGATTGGGGAAACATTTCTGTGCAAGTTGGAAATCATATTCTTTGCTTCTTGGGTGGTGGACAAATTGCAGTGAAGTTTAATAGTCTTTACTTGCAGTATTCAAACTGTAACATTGATGGCACTGCCTGTAACAGAGGAGCTCCTAAACCAGGATCAAACTTGGTTTCCCTGTTCAATAATGAAATCTAATATTCAGCAGTGGGCCTAATCAGAAGTTAAAAAATGTTCACAAAGTTTTTTTTCCCACTGAGAATCAATAATAAAGACTGATGTAAAAAACAAAGGCTCTTTTATTTATTTGCACTTTTATTGTGCATGTCATGCAACATGCAAATGATGTCTGTAGCTGTTTCAAAGCTTTGTTTTTTTTGTTTCTGATTTGATATGTGATTTGCACATGTGCTAGGAGCTTTATAGTCTAATATACTGTAAATCAGAGGTACTCGTAAACCTTTAAGTTGTGACCCTAAATGTCAGTGTGTAGTTTCCTGGGACCCTTGTGAAAACTTTTTAAATAAAGGGACAGTTCACTCTTTATCAGCACCAGATTAGTTTGGATTATTTTTTTTGCTTTGGTTTTAGTTTATATTAGCCATCTGTTTATGCAGGTGTAATATGATATAGTAAAATTAAGCACTCACTGCAAATGCTGAAGAAAACAGGTGAATCTTGAGGGTAGAAATAAGAGGTAACTTCTTGACCTCTTACATTTTTCTACCTGTAATAGTTAGAAACATCACACCAACAACCTTTGATCAATTGTTGTTACACTGCATGCTGCTCGAATAAGGCATTGCAAAAACATGTTCAAAAATTAGCAACTCTAAATCCGTCACTCCAATATCCTTTTCCATCAGTTAAAGCAGATGTGATTGGTTGCTAAGGGTTTGAACCCATTCCAGACCTTCCTCTCTCTATTGTCACCCACAAGGTGCTTTTCCTTGCAGTCACCATACCAAGACAAGTGTCTGAGTTAGCAGCCTTATTTTGGAAAGGACCCTTTCAAAGCTACACTACAACAAACAAAAATTAGCAGGTCAGCAAAATTTCCCAAATTTAAGGGTTGCTAAAATTCCTAACGACAGCCCTAAAGCTGAGCATCTTTCTAGCTCAAATTTCTTGAGCGCCCCAATATTATTTCAAATCTCACACAAACAAAGCAATCTTAATTAATATAGGTTTCCTTGAGACAAATCTATTGATGACAATGTAAACATGTTTTCTGTCACCCCATAACTACTTAGTTATAGATATCCCGTCACCTTGCCTCATGCAGGGCATCCCCTGACCCCCATATACTCATCTCACTTGAACTCCATTGCAGCGCCTAGCTATTCTGTAGCTGGTGTTGAGATCAGCTGTATCATTGACCTAAGGGAGCGATTAGTCACCCACAGTCAAGTGACATTGCTCGGGCCTAGTGATTGGCTGCTAGGTCCTGGTACCATTACAAGGGGCAGGTCACATGATCCTCCATAACCAGAAGTTGCAGGTATTCTCAATGGCTGCAGAGGATCAAGGAGCTTCAAGGGAGCAAAAGTAAGGCAAGTGAAGGGTGTCAAGGATTGCCTTTCCAGAGACCCCGTCATTGTGCTCTGCATAGAAAAGGTGACATTTTAACTATGAAGCTAATTGTGCAAAGTTTCCATCTATACAAGCAGTTTGACAGAAGAAAGTTAATGCAACTGTCAATTTTATTACAAATATAAAAAGTTAATTGTTTTGCTAGGAGTTTACATTTTTTCATAATTTAATACATGACCACATGTTTTGCAAGTCTTTTTGTACATGTCCTCTTCAATATGTTCCTCTGGACCATACTCATGTTGGTGACCAGCGGTGTCTCTCCTCCACAAGCTGCTGCGCACAGCATGTCGCAATTCTAGGACACAAAAAAAGCACTAAATGTACAGCCACAATGGTCAAAAATGGAAGAAAACAGTATAAAGGAGCTCGTTTACAAAAACAAATGTAGAAAAGTCCTCACCTCCTAGACACTTCTATTAAACATCAGTATTGCTCGGTTTGTACATTGAGGTCTCTTTTGTATGAATGGAATACCTGTAAAACTAGATCTTGCCAGCGGCAGCTCCTTGATTAGGACAACTGAATGACAACAGCCTACATGACATGATTTTCTAGCATGAAAGTTCCAGTTTTAAAAAGGAAGGAAGGTTATCAACTTGTGGGCAGCTTAAACGACACCTTTTTCCCCAGTGTCACGGCCATACCATTTTTCCCAGTGATAAGGCACCTACACACAACTCAATTTAGCAATTTACAGCAGATTGGGGAACGTTTGTACACGTTTGGGCCATTCCTGATGATGGAGTCTGCCTGGGGGGGGAAGAATTACTGGGCTGGTATAGGTTTTTTATTATTGTATTGCCCCATGGCAAGCTGGTGCTTGCAGGTTAAAATTTGCACCAAGTTGCACGAAACGTGAACCATTCTGAGGAGACTGCCACTGAGCCATGGACTGCTAGCAAGCTACCTGCTTCTCAGTAAATTGTTTTATAACATGGTCTTCACCTGTACAGATGACAGAAAAAGATATCCTATTGACACTGGTACCTACAGATTTTCTAAAGATGACTTTTGTATGGAATAGCCAGTGATTGTCCTCCCGTTACTCTAAGGAGAACTATGGGGAAAAGCCCTGACCCCATAGTTCTCCTTTAATATTCAGTGAACAACCTGAGACAACAATTTCATTGTCGAAGGGAATTCTCTCTGCTAGAGTCACTGGAAGAAGGTCAGAAAGTTAACCTTTTTTACAATGGAGATACTTCTTTTAAATGTAGTGACTCTTTAAAACTTCACCAGATCAACTCCTTATCAATACTACACCAATTAACACTGCACAGAAACCTGTAATATGAGTTGCGTAAGCGTGTTAAGAAAGTGACGGGTATAAAAACAAAGTCTTCACATAACTAATACTACTAAGGTCTTAGGGCTTGTTCACACCATAAACAGTGCGTTCTAGAGGGGTCAGCTGCTGGAACACACTGTATCGCATCCCGGTCGGCTTCCTGCATTCAGGGCGGGATGTGGTGTGGCGCTGCGTTGGAGTCAGTGGCACCGCAGAAACATCGCCCCCCAGAACAGGTGGCACATAAGTGCCTGCGTTCCGGTCCAGTGCAATCTGCAAAAATAGTTCAAAAATAGTTTTTGCAGATCGCACTGGACCGTAACGCATGCACTTATGTGCCACGCGTTCTGGTGCGGCCGATCGCACTGCAGGAAGCCGGCTGGGATGCGATACAGTGCGTTCCAGCAGCTGACCGCTCCGGAACGCACTGTTTATGTGAACGAGCCCTGCACATCTTCCTACATCAACAATAAGCTATAGTTTTTCACTTTACCTTTTACTTTTTTGTCAAACCGCTTTTGTTTCCTTTTATTCCTGTTATCTTGTCGATCTTCTTTAGCTTCTTCAAGAGCTTCCTCAGTGCCCCATACTTCTAAAGAGCGTTTAACTATCTAAAAATAATAAGCACATTAACCCTTAGAGCAAAAAAGGAAAAAAAAAAGACTAGAACTGCAAAACCATTTTGCATAGTTAGGTTATGTAAAACCTTTGTGCACCGACTGTCTACCAAATGATTTCTTTGCTCTCTAGGTTTACACTTCCAATGGCCAACATCGCTATGCAATAGCAAATGTAAAACCTTTGTGCACCGACTGTCTACCAAATGATTTCTTTGCTCTCTAGGTTTACACTTCCAATGGCCAACATCGCTATGCAATAGCAAATGTAAAACCTTTGTGCACCGACTGTCTACCAAATGATTTCTTTGCTCTCTAGGTTTACACTTCCAATGGCCAACATCGCTATGCAATAGCAAATGTAAAAAAACTTGTTAGAAAATGGTTTCATACCTGCGATTTTAAGTAAAGCTTCATATCACCCCAATGAGAATTTTGAGGGTTTTTCTTCAAAATGAATTTCAGCACGGGCTCCCGTTTATCAATATCACAGTCTTTTAGCAGGTACTCCCTTTTGGCTTCAGTCCGTGTTATAAGCTTGTGCTTTTCTTCTGAATCTCTAAAGAATGATTTTTAATAATATAAAAACAAAACTTAGTCAAAGTGTGGTTTATATGGAGACTGGGTTTTGTGTCTGAACGATTGGATGGTGAGAATGCAAATATGCAGTTCTAATCTTAATGCGGAAAGGTATGTTATGGCAGTTATGGTACGGATATATAGCAGGGCATCCCGCGCCAGGCCTATTCTCATCTCTTGGATCATTTAAAGTCACCTGTCCCTTTAAGAAAAAGTATCGGTAATTGGTATCGGCAAGTACATGAGGGGATGTACTTGTACTTGGGCCTGAAAAAGTGGCATCGGGACATCCCTACTCTGCATGCTCATACATTCCTATAGGCTTCTCAATACCAAAGCCATGTAAAGCACAGGTACGAGCCTAGCTCGGAAGAATATTACAAGCGGCCGTCAATCTAGTGAGTAATATTTAGCTGAATAAGGGAAAGATGAGTTTAAGTCTGGGTAGGGGCCTACGATATAAGTGTAATTACATTCACAGAAGCTACAGTCTCGAGTGCTCCATAAGGCGCGCCGGACCTCCCTGCGTCCTATGGTCCGGTGCGTCTTATGGACCGCAAAATACGGTATACACTGTTAGGGTAATCCGGCCGCTGTCATAATACAAAGAAAACAGCAGGAATTCCTCAATCAACACTTACAAGTGTTGATGGAGGAATCTGTTCTATTTTGTTTTTTTTTTCACACAGCCCGCGAAATAAATACAACAGTGTATGACCAGCTTAGGCCTATCAGAAGACTGGCAATTCAGACTAATTGTATGATGAAAGATACAAAAGTAGAGGTTACCGTCAGTGAAAACCACATGTAAAAATAATTTGTTTCAGATATACAGATCCTGATGATCATGCCTCCTTTAACATCATGGGCCTCCAACTGATCAGTGAGACTGGCTGTCACATTTAAGGACCTATAGGGAGGCTCAGGAGATGGCAATGCCAACAATAAAGATTTACACATACATTCAAATGCCTTTATCTCTATATAGAGCCAAAGATAATCTCACCGCTCCAATTCCTTAGCCACCATCAGTAACATGGTTACCTCTATGAATAAGCCTGCGGGTGAAACATGTGAGAGGTTGTAGTTGGTTGGGGGTGTGCGGTGCTGTTATTTGCTGCTTTATACACTTTTATTCACTGATATACTGAATTTACTGTGAATTTCAATAAAGTCCGCAGGATTGGAATTCTCTAGATAGTGTGGTCTGTTCGTATACTGCTGCCTATATCTCTAGCTCTACTGATTATTTTGACATGTAACGTTCACTGAAAGTGGCCTCCACAATTTTTTCCCCCATATGCACAGTTTACATTAAGCTTTGTGTTAGTTTTACTTTTAGTGGAGTTTACTTGGAAAGCCCCTGCAGAATGTGAAATGTACTACAAACACTGTGTATGGGACATCTTTACTATATATCCTGAAAATACAGAAAAAAGTGTGAATGTGCCTTTAGAAAATGTTAAGATAGAAATTGAACTAGGGAGCCACAACTTCATGTGCCAGAACTGTGTTTAATTTCAGTCTCTGGCAAAGAAACCTTCCTGGAAATCAAAATAGGATGAAAAATGTCGATGAATTACCTGCAGGCATCACATACTGCCAAGTCAAAGTGATTGCTTAAATATGAATCCATAAAATCTTTGTTGCACTCCTCACAAATTAAATAATCAAATTCCAGTACAGGACCTGCAATGAGTGAAGGAAATCATTTGAACTGGTTTGGTGATGGTAAATCTATATACATTTAACTTTGCAAGAAAAGGACAACCTTTTTAAATAAAATGGTGTGATTACATTTCAAACTGGCCTTGTGCACTCATGTGGTTAGAGAACTTTACGTTACAGATACTTGTATTTCTTGTCCTGGACTTGATAACTACAGTATATTAAGTATTAGGTATGCACCGATACCAGTTTTTCAGTATTGAGTACCGATATTTATATTTCGGTACTCGCCAATACCGATACCGATTCAGTAGCATGGAGCCAGCTTCCCAGGCAATCAGGAAGTCAGACAGCGTGTCATTCACAGCTGCCCGGCTTCTTGATTGCCCGGGAAGCCGGTTCCATACTGTTTGGCCGGCTCAATGCCAATTGGCCAGGAAGCCAGCTTCTCAGCCAATCAGCATGGAGCCAGCTTTCCGGTCAATCTGGAGGCCGGGAGGCAGATCATTACCCGCAGCCTGGCTTCCCGATTGGCTGGGAAGCCGGCCAATCAGTATCAAGCCAGCCAAACAGCATGGAGTCGGCTTCCCGGCCAATCAGGTAGCCGGGCCACCAGTCATTACTCGCAGCCTGACTTCCTGATTAACTTCCTGATGGAAACTAGCACTTTTTGAGCTTACTGGTTTTTTTTTTTAAATAAACACATGGCACAGTAGGGATCATGATTGGGTACAAAAGCCAGCTGTCAATCAAAATTCTTTAAAGCTGAACCCTGGGATTTTTATTAAAAAAGTACCTTGGCAGTGGGGACCCTGAACTGCCTTGGTAACCCTAGGGGTAGAGGAGAAAGCTGTGATACGTACCTTATTCCTTGCTCCAGTAGGCTTCCAGTGATCTCCTCTTCTCTCCGACGCTCTGGTTTGTGGGGGGACCTTCACCACCCTCACATACAATGCAGGACAGCTGGCTTTGCACTGTATGTTATGACATCAGAGCGCCACCGCCAAAGAGAAAAGGCTTCAGGGGCCCAACTGCGCAGCCAAGATAGCGACCTAGCTTTTTTATACTGCATTTAAAATAAGCAGCTAGATCACCCCTCCTGATTAGGAAGCAGCCGAAGAGTGATGCAGCCATGTCTTTGAACTGCGTCAAAATATTGATTGCCACCACTTCCACATGTAGTAGAGTCTGAGTGGCTCCCTTTGCTCTCCCTCTCCCAGTCTCTCAGTCCAATTCTGCTGTGCAAGGGATTACAGGAGAGAGATATGAAGACAAAATACAGGTACTATTCAAATTTGGAAAAAAAAACATTTAGAGGCCCATTCATAGTTGAAAGCGGATACAGCTAACTGCTCTACTCGGAATGATATTTAACACTGTGGCTTGCATTTTATGACCCATTCATACCGCAGTACAGGGTGTACAGTCTGAAGTATGTAACAGAGTTTTTACTGAAGTTTCTCTAAGTATTCACAATGATATTTATTGCTTTGCAATGTCTATCCACCCCAGACTCTACTGTCCACTTCCTTATTGGCCTTCCATCTTTGCCACATTAGTCTTCTCCTGTGAACATAGACATCTATTTTTAAATTGAGTCATGTATCAGACAGGATATGGAAGGTTTACCTGGTTGATGAACCACATTTTCTACTGGCTTCTCTTCGGTTTGCTCCTCTTCTATAAAGAATCCTCCACCAGAATCAACAATCCTTGGAAGAGGTTTGAAAGTTGACATCCCTGTGTAAGAAATGTTTTAGTGGTGATTTTCATGATTTAATACACGGTTTCCCCGAAAATAAGACCTACCCCGAAAATAAGACCTAGTACTATTTTTGGGAATTGCTCAAATATAAGACCTACCCTGAAAATAAGACCCAGTTGTGACCTTTCCCAGGGCCGTTGGTTGCATAAGGGGAACCTGAAGAGCCGCGGGAGAGAATCAGCGGTGCCAATGAAGCCGGCGCTAGAGGAAGCGAGGCAGCAGCACAGGGACCAGAGCTGCATAAGCCGATGCCTCCTCTATAGCGCTGGCTCCTGTCACAGGTGGAGTGATGCCAAATGCACTCCGCCTGTGAGGAATGGATAGTGAAAGTGGGCTTCGCTCATTCTGGCCAGTGATTGGTTACCCGATTGCCCTGATCACCCTATTTTTGAATTTGCATTAATTTTGGATTGTTGTACATCAAAAAAAAAAAAAAGACCTACCCTGAAAATAAGACCTAGTGTGTTTTTTTGAGCCCAAAAAAATATAAGACAGTGTCATATTTTCGGGGGAAACACGGTAGCAGCTAATCGCCCAAAAGTGATACTGCAGTTATAGGTGTTTTATGAGCGGAGTCACCTACTGGCTTCTTATATACCTTAGGGACTCCAGCAGTGAGATCTGCCTACCTTAGCTGCAGATTCCATGTTCATCTTGGATACTGGGGTGTACCAAGATGAATTTTTGGCAGAACATGGAAAATACCAGCTTGGTATTTTCCCACTCCATCTACACATCTCCATAACAGGTAAAAATCTATCAAGCAGAGTGGACCCCTAGCATAGGGTACATCAAGTGTGTAGGCCCCAGCACAGAGTTTCTGGGCCATATAAGAAACTATTTAATGGTTTAACTTTAGTATCTACCACAAATTATTTTTAATTTAACTCACTCTTTAAAAGTGCTTAAGGGGAAACTTATGAAAACTGGAGCAGACAGAATCTGGAGCAATTGTTCATATTAACCAAAGCAGCTTCTCTTTTTAGTTTGTTCAGTTAAAGTGGACCGTTACACTCAAAAATCAAATTCTACCAATGCATCCGTATGTGTATGATGATTAATAATAACACAGACATGTCAGGTGTAAAATGCTGTGAATATGAAATACTTGCAGAGCATTCACTTCCTGCTTTGAAAGGGCAAAAATGACTTCAGTTTACCAAAGCAATGCACACTGGGATTGCCTTGTCATCAGAAGTGTATTGCTGGGAAATCTCATCTGTAATCTCACGAGATCTCAGGGAAAGGCATATTCCTACTCTGACATGATATGGTCACATGTCCTAGTCACGTGCCAGAAATCCAGGAAGTAAAAGGAGATCTAGTAATCTGCCCTTAGTTAACATGGCCACTGCCAGAAGACTGGGGAAGAAAAGAGAAATAAGGTATGCAAAGAATACAAAGCCGGCAATTATCTAGAAGTATGTGTTTGTAGATTGTCATTGCTAAACATTTCTAAAGGTGTGTTTGTTGTTATTTTAAAGATATGGGTAAAGGTCCACTTTAAGGTTTGAAAATGACAGAAAGAAGCTGATTGGTTGCCATGGGCAACTGTTCCAGATTCTGTTTGCTCCAGTTTTAATAAATTCCCGTTTGTCTTTTAAAACATTTTCTGAATCTAAAAGTGTCTTTTTGGAGACATAGTCATAGCAAGTAAACAGTTATGGTATGATGTAAGAGTACATAAACATTACTGTCATGGTGTAATTACCTTCACCAGTTGGGTAAGGTCTGCTAGCAAGCCGTGCTTGTCTTAACATCAATGCTCTTTGTCTATTGCGCTCTATCTTAGCTCGGACAGCAGCAGGTAGTATCTTCTCTTCCTCCTGGTGAGGTTGTGCCACTGGCTCAGAGTCCATCTTTACTCTATATTCAGGCCACAGTTATAGACAGGACACCAGTAAATCTGCAACATAAGGTAGTTATTTGCAACAGACATCAAATAAGTGTGTGTGTGTGTCCGTGTGTACTTGAATGTATTTTTAAGATTTAACTCCCAAGTTGAGTGTTACTTTTTTTAAAAGTTGCAAAATATCATAGCACAATAAATATAAACAAAAGTTTAAGCTTTCCAGGCCTTTACATTTAGGGAGGAAAAGTCAAAGACTACGGAGAGCTCAAACTGTCTGATGACCCACTCCATGTATGGGACATGTAACTGATACCCTGGACTGAAAAGAAGTGGTTAAATGATGCTGACCAGCTATGAACACAGAAGAGACCCGTGGTGGAAAACAGAGGAGCAAGTGGGGCACAGTGATGAAGCACTGAGAGGGCGAGTAGTCATTGCCCACATTTTTCTAATACAGGAGAATGTAAGCTATGACTAAGGCTTGTATAACTGAAACACGTTAAGAGTCTTGTTGCTGTGTTGTACTAGATCTTGGCTTTTATTAATCAGAAAGGAATTATGGATCGTATTTGGACTCCAGCACTATTACTTACTTGCAGTCTTTGGAGTGTAACAGGAGCCCTGCCATTAAAGCCGACCTTAACCCCGTCACTAAAAATCACCTCAGCCATCAGCTCTGCACGCTGATATAAAATCATCTTGCATTCATTAGTTAAATAAACATATTTTTCTTTTACTTACAATTATTGTTTTTCCACTTCCTGGTCCTCTTGGGCACAAATGATGTAATGTGCCCAAGTGTTGCATCCTGGGAAGGTTACACCAGCAGAACATTGCTGGGAAATCTCATCTGTAATCTCATGAGATCTTGGGGGAAAGGCATTTTTCTCCCCTGTGATGATATGCATGGTCACATGTCCTAGATACATGTGCCAGGAAGTAAAAGGAGATCTAGTAATCTGCCCTTAGTAAACATGGCCACTGTCAGAAGACTGGGGAAGAAAAGAGAAATGAGGAATGCAAATAATACAAAGCCGGCAATTGTCTAGAAGTACGTTTGTAGATTGTCATTCTTAAAAGGTGCATTTGTTGTTATTTTCAATATATGGGTAAAGTTCCTCTTTAAAGACCAACATCTCAGGCTACAGTGATGAAGGCGGCAGAGCAGAACTTTTTTTTAAAATGTATATGACAGGTGAGAATAAACACAAAAATTAAAGTGTATGTCAAGAAACTTTTTCTATAGTTTTGGATAGAGTGGGGAAGGATTAGAACTTCTGCCAGGTTTTACTGGAGAGATACACTTACTTCCTGTCTGGTAGAATGTTGTCACCAGAACACGATGTTAGAGTAAATCTCTCTAATGGAGCTCCAGATAGCAGTAAAAACCTAACAGGGGTTCCAAACCTTCCTCACACAATCCAAATTTAAGAAAAGATGTTTTGGCTAAACATACACTGTAAAACTTCAGCCTTATCTTCAGTCTTGCTCAGTTGTACACTCTCCTGTACTGGAAATGCTTAGTTTGATTTCACTGCACAATGTGTATTTTAAGATGTACCCATAGAAGCTGTAGCCAGTCAGACAGTGCCCCCTGATTTCCTGGCTGGAGGAAATCCAGCATCATCTAGCTCTTTCTTCCCCAGCTTTCTTGAACCTGGCCTGCCCCTTTAATTCACTGGACTGTCCCTTCTGGGAGACTGACATGAGATCAGTGAACATCCATTCACTGATCTCCCCTGTGAAGAACAAACCAGGACATGCTAAACTCTGATCACTTATGGGTTCAGTGCCCTCATGGCCCATTCTCAGTGGCATAATCTGTGCTTGGTCAGCTTCAATAAATTGAAGAAACAGCATTAAAGAGACCACTGATGCCTCCTTAAAGAGAACCAGTCATCTGTAATATGCTATCACAAAACAGGACTTATTAGCTCCCTTGATATAGCAATAATGTTAAGGGGGAAAAAAAAAAAAAGTTAGTTTAATTAAATAAATAAACCCTCCAAAATAAGTTGATGGCCTGTAAAGGCTTTTAATCATATGCACAATGTGGAGTACTGTCGGTTTTTGCTATTTGGCATATTTGTTATCTATTCACTCGACCCAATCTCATCTTTTATATTTGACCAAAAACAAATGAGGCATTATATTGTGCTTGTGTGCATTAAAGTTCATTTCTTTGCATATTTTACTGGAAACATGGGTTGAAAAAACACCTGCACAAATATCATGTCACATAAAAAATTGCAACTGCCACCATTTTATTCTCCAGGGTCTCTGCTCTGAGGCCTGAAGATTACATAACACCCACACAACATATATTGTATATATTTGTAGCTGGGACCTGACTCTGGCGCTCCACCACTGTCGTTAAATCTAGAGCTGCAACAACTATTCGATTTAGTCGATTAGTCTACCGTCGAAATTGCCTGTTTGCGGCTCCAAACACGACCCGCGCACACCGTGGTCCAGCCCCCTGCTCTCCTCCAATCCCAGCGCTCCTTACATCTAGCCGGGCCGGTGCGGTCACATGACGGGTGTCAGGGATGTGAGCGCGACAGGTGTCAGCCGGGGGACAGAGACGATGGCTGGGGACTAGCTGGCATCCAGGCTGAACCGGCGGCTGCCGATGGGGGACCCGGAGGATGGGGAGAGGGAGCAGCCCAGCATTAGGGTCTTCATTCCCAACACCAAGTTCAAGGAATTCAGCAGATCAAAGACATAGAGGGAATGTTCAGACAAGTAAGTGCCCCGAGCCTGGAACCTGACACCGTGCACCGCAATCCACCATCATACCCATCCTCTGCACTCCATCCCACCATCATACCCATCCCTGCACCCCATTCAACCATCATACCCGTCCTCTGCACCCCATTCCACCATCATACCCGTCCTCTCTATTCCTGCACTCCATTCCACCATCATACCCGTCCTCTCCAATAACACCAGCTATAGAGAAATACATCAGATCCCAGCATTAATACATTATACAGCGCAACACAGAATAACACCAGCTACAGAGGACTACAAATCCCAGCAATAGTACAATATAGTTTAATGTACTATTGCTGACATTTGTTGTATTCCTATATAGCTGGTGGTATTCTGCATTGCGCCGCTGTATAATGTACTATATTGCACGCCACACTTTTTTTTACTTCCACCGCTCCAAGCTTGCTCCCGTGATGGACTACAATCTCAATACAAACTAGTAGTCCATCACTGGAGCCTTTTTAAAAAAAAATCTGATTTACCGATTAATCGAACTTAAGAATCGGCTAACTAATTGATTTTGAAAATAATCATTAGCTGCAGCCCTATTTAAATCATTAGTCTGTCCGTCACACAACAATAAACAGACATGTATCAGTACTTGTATCTGTGAGTACTTGGGCAAGTATCAGTACTTGGTCTGGAAAAAATGGTATTGGGGCAAAATATATATAACAAATCATACATTAAAATAGGGATGCACAAATCCCAGGAGCTCGGTGACCAATGCTCCTTAAAAACGAGAGCTGACTTTTAACATTTGATTTTCTCTAGTCTAGTCTTGGAGCTGGAAAAGTATCTGTACTCGTACCGAGCACGGTACTTGGTATCTGGGCATCCTTAAAAGCCAGCAGCAGCTTCTATATTTGTATCCTCACAGGTTTCCTTTGATAAAGAAAAACAAAGAATGCTTACTCTTGTTATAATGTGACACAGCTTTATTACCACAATATACTGTTCAAATGAATAAAGGTTCAAACACAAATTGTATGTATATATTATATACTGGGCTGTCCCTATAATAAGGCAGTTGCCTCAGGCGGCATCTCATTGGGTCACAGGCGGTGGATAGGTGTGCCTACTGCCCCTCTCCAGCCAGAGTGTCCCAGGTTGCTAAGAGCTCTTAGAAACCTGGGATGCTCTGGTTAGCGTTCCAACCAGCTTATTGACAGCACTGATTGCCAGGAGCTAAGGGGAATGCCGGACAGAGGTACCATGCCGTCGCACCCCAGTAACGTGCACGGCCAACAGTAATCCCCCTGCTAATGTGCACCACCACCCCCAGATTACTTAAAACACATTTGGGGAAATGTATCAAAAAACTGGAGCACACAGAATCTGGAGCAGTTGCTCATAGTAACCCATCAGCTTCGAACTTTCATTTTCAAATCTTAAAGGAGAACTTTGTTACCCTGAGGAGAACTAACGGGGAAAAGCCCTGACCCCATAGTTCTCCTTTAACTAAACAAACTGAAGAGAGAAGCTGGCTGGTTACTAAGGACAACTGCTGTGGATTCTGTCTGCTCCAGTTTTGATATATGCATACATGGGGGGAATTTATTATATAAAACACATCAGCTTTTATGGATCTTTTGATGCATACTACCATAGCTTTGATTACAGTAAAGCGATTCTCTTCACATGGAGATAGCAATTATATATAGCTTTAATAAACGTGCTCGGAATTGTCAGGCACCGTTAGGTATAATCGAAATATCAAAAGCAGCCATATCCTCCCGTCAGTATTGCCCAGTATAACACTAGTCTTTACTTATTCCCATGAGCCCCAACACAATCCACCCTGACAGACTACCATCACCGTGCAAGACAGAGGAAAGCGAAGACTTCCCACCGTGGAGACGACTCAGCCCAACACTCAACCAAAAGCCTCGTGTACTTTAATCTTTACACAACCTACCCTGCGTATCAGCTGCTTGTTACACAACAACCGCTATCCCGGATGTTGTCATCACATTCACTTCCGTGCTGCAGAGACACTCGTTTCCGCCCACTTCTGTAATGGTAGCAATGGCTTGCCGCTTGCTTCCGGCGTGTGATGTCACGTTTCCCTGAATGTTTTATGCTATGGATTGACAGCTATAGTCAGTTACTGTGCCCATGTGGCTGACTAGAAAAAATGAGAAATAAAGAAGACGTGACAGGCAGCAGACTGGCATTGCAGCTGTATGGAAGGCACAATGATGTGCAAGATATTACTTTTACACTGCATGCTATACTAATTCTGCAGTGCAACCCCCTAGAAACCAGAACTTCTGAATATGTTCATTCATCTATATGCAGTTTAGTTTTGG